GAGATGAACTATGAGAGACGATGGACTCTGAGAAACAAACAGGGTTTTAGACGGGAGGGGGGTGGGGGGATGGGTTAGCCTGGTGATGGGCATTAAGGAGGACACGTACTGCATGGAGCACAGGTTGTTATACGAAAACAATGGATCGTGGATCACCACATCAAAAACTAATGATGTATTGTATGGTGACTAACATAACATAATAAAATTAAAAAAAAAAGAAAAACAAAACAAATAAAAGTCATACAGATTGGAACTGAAAAAAAAGTGATTGTTAAAACCTGCTAGGGTTTTAAATAAAATAATAAGAGTTCTAAGGTAATGTAAAAGTTTAAGAAAAACTATAGTTCTTTAATTTATAACTTAAATAAATTTAATATTAATTTTTAAAACTAAAGTAAACCTGTGATAGTATTTTCTGCACACACAAAAAAGATACTGTTAAGGACATCAAAAACTCACATTTAGCACACTGGGCCTGCCTGTCAAACATGTCTGCTTGGTGACTGCCATTGACAGAAAGCTCACCACCTTGCTAGGCAGCCCATTATTCTGTAGGATAGCTGAAGCTATCAGGCTATTAGAAAGCCCTCCCCTGCCCTTATGTTAAGTTGAACTCCCTCTCCTTGATCTCCAGTCACTGGTCTCAGTTCTGCCCCCCTGTAGACACTGAACAAATCTAATCCCTCTTCCTCATGAAATCAGCATCATCTTTTCTCTAGGCTCATGTCTCCAAGCTAGTGCCTCCAGATTTGCCAATCTTTCATTTGCTCTGCAATTATTTATTGAGGGCCTGCCATGTTCCAGGCACTGTGCTAGATGCCAGAGAGAAAACAACAACAACAACAACAAAACCCAGGCCCTGCCCTCCAGCTCACAGTCTAGTGATTAAAAGAAGTGAGGAGGTACTTAGAAATAATCGTGAGATAAAACCTGTAGGGAGAGCCCTGAGAGCACAAATCACTCATCCTTGTCCTGTGGAGTCACAGATGGCTGCTCAAAGAAGACAATGTCTGAGGCCAGAGGAACATTTTGTAGTTGGCCCAGCAAAAAGGTGGGAGGAGAGAGCAATAATACGTACACAAAAGCCTAAGATAAGAGGGAGCATAGCCTTTCATAGAATTACATGTAGTTCCATTTAGAGCAGGAAGTGAAGAGCAGAAACACAACTTACCCTCCTCCTCCTTCTCACTGATAGTGCCTAGTTCAAAAAGACTTGATCTAGGATCCAAAAACCCTCTGAAATTGTAAGCAAAATTGTGCACATATGTGCATATATATGTTTTCCTGGAAAGAAGATTTTCGGAAGAATTATTAGCTTTACGTTAGGAGTAAATGAGTTAGATTGATCCATGTCTGTTAAAATGTAGCCCCTGAACCTAACACAGTACCAAAATGCTCAGAGATACCATCAAAGACAGAACATTGCCTCCCTTCATCAGGACATCACATCTCTGCCAATGTGGCTTAATGCAGCCCCATCAGACAATAAACTCACATGTAGGCTGTAGTCACTCAAATCCCTTATGTCATTGTCTTGTGAATTCTGCCAGATTCCCTCCACCCTGTTCTTAATCAGTTGATACTGAAATTAAAACCAGAGCTTTTATACTATCAAATTTCAGCCCAGGGCTCCAGATTCTCTGATTACCATTAATAATAAAACTAATCATAATGGCTAATATTTACTGAATACTTTCTATGTGCATGCACCATGCTAAATTCTGTATACACGCTATCTCATTTAATCCTCCCAACAGGCTCCTAAAGTAGATATTGTGATCTCCATTTTATAAATGAGGAAACCGAGTATCAGAGAGGGTAAGAAACTTGCTGATGGTGACTGAACTAGGACCGAACCCAAACTCTTAACTGTTAAGGTATAACAGATTCCAATATTGCTTCCTTTACCCACCCACCTTCGCCAACAGACTTAGTGTTCCATGTCCAGTTTCATTTCCAGTGTTCTCCCTACCACTGCCTCAAAGCCAGTCCTTCTAAAACACTATCAAATCAAATATGAACCTCACAGACCAGATTTGAATATGCTTATTCTTTAAAAAAACATGTGATTCACCGGTTTAAAATCCCAGTATATGTGCAGTCTGTTTTGGGCTGCCTTGGAACATGGCTCTAAAGTGGGCTTCTCCCCATTGCCAGGGCCTGTCAGGCAGTGATCATCAGTACGTGCCTCTGCAATCAGTGGTCCCACATAGAACTCCCCAGTTAGGTGATAGTAGACATTCTAAAAGAAAGCAAAGGAATCTGTCCTGGATACAGTCAGTGGGGCTGTCCTTGACCTTATAGAGGGCATGAAGTCTGTTCCTGGGTCCCCTACGTACTCAGTCACTACGAGGGAGCACTGACCTTTCATGGGTAACAAGGAGCCACTTCCACTTCCTTCTCCTCAAACTCCAGTTGACTCTAGGAAGAAGACCAGGCATAAGGAGGGGGCACCAGCCTGCCTGATTCCATATAAGGGCTCCAACACAATCATGACTTGCATCGGCAAAGATTATCTTTGAAACACACACACACACACACACACACCTGAACTTCCGAAGTTGTCATCATAAGCTCCAGCTATGGGCTTGTCAAGAAACATTTCCAAGGGCGCCTGGGTGGCTCAGTTGGTTAAGCGACTGCCTTCGGCTCAGGTCATGATCCTGGAGTCCCGGGATCGAGTCCCGCATCGGGGTCCCTGCTCGGCAGGGAGTCTGCTTCTCCCTCTGACCCTCTTCCCTCTCATGCTTTCTATCTCTCATTCTCTCTCTCTCTCAAATAAATAAATAAAATCTTTAAAAAAAAAAAAAAAAGAAACATTTCCAGTTCTTAATCTGATACTATCTTGCTTGGTGAGCTTGGACAAGTGCGTTGTTTTTGTGTCTCAGTGTTTTCATTTGTCACGTGGAAATGCTTATCTATCACACATACTACCAGAAGTTCCCTGTGAGGGCAACATGCAAAGTAACAAGATGGATGAAAATATTCTCAGGGGAAAAAGTCCCCCCAGGCTGCACCATCCACTTGATGCCAGGTCTCTTCTCTTCTATGGAGCAACTTCCATTTAGCCTCTCTCTTCTCTAGCCCCTGTTTCCTTCTCTACAGAAGAAGCCACAGGTGGCATCACCTGCCCACCTTCCAGGGCATACCAGGAGTGGTGGGAGGATGGGACAGTGAGGGGAAGGGAAAAGGGTGGAACCCGAGGTAACTTGTCAATGAAAACATTACCATTATGAATGAATGTGACAGAGCATACTTTCCACCTGTCATTCCTGTACCCAAAGCAGAACTGTCTATGATGATTTTTTGAATGGACTTCGAAGGGCTTATAAAGACAGGTTTGGATTTCACCCTTACCCATTGCTCGGGATGCTGTTTCTACCTTCCCATCATCTAACACTTAGTCTGAATCTGGCAAGTGTGGCCAGGGGCTGAGCCACAGCAGACTCACCCGGGGGCAGGGGAGATTGCAGAAGATACCTGCAGACTGTATTTGTGACAGTAAAACATGATGGGGGTTTTGCCTGAAACAAGTCCCTGATCCAGGCAGATATTTTCATCCAATGTGTTTTTCATCTGAAAGGGCAAAACACACAGAAACACCTTTAGAAAGAGGTAGAGAAAGAGGGCCTTCAAGCCTCCCCAGGTCATTCCTTTTCCCCACTACTCCAAGGGTGCCAGAAATTACCAACCAAAAGGAAGCAGGGGTTTGGATCTTGGGAGCCATTTTCTTTGCACTAGACAAATGCTGGAAGGAGGTGCTGCTGTGATGCTCCTTCCTAGGAACTCCCACCCCTCAGACTGTCACAGCACATATAGAGAAGGGGGACCAAGCCAGATACCCTGGTTGGCTGAGAAACTGAGAGGTCAGATCTAGGGCTGCAGTTTGCAAAGTAAGGACCCAGAGGCAAGGAAAAGAGATGGGGTCTGGGGAGCAAGAGACAAAAGAACACTGAGAGGGCCCAAGGGCAAAAAGCTGAGAAAGGAGTTAAGGGGTAGAAAGAATCCTGGACAGGATGGAATTTGGAAATGCTTTTCTGAGTTGTCATGTAATTCAGGCCCCATTGTCTTTTATAGTCAAATATTTTGTAAAATCTGAGATGCAATTTCATGATACACACTCTTCCGTAGCCCACAATGTTGTGGATTGGCTTCAGGTTTGGATAAACATTTTTCAGATACCAGTCAAAAGTTTTACATTTCAGTTTTTTCCGGAGTGCCATTCTGGAAGAAATGTCTCCAAAATCGATTCCAGAGTTCTATAAATTAAACATGGACTATTTCTGTGCCTTGTAACATCCTTGACTCCACCAAAGGGTATGAATGACACATGAGGGAATGAAATATTTTCCTGATAGCCTGGAAGGTAACCTTGATAATTATAGTTTTTAAGGGAAACTGGGAAGAGCTTGAAACCTAGTAATCTCTGTTGGCTTCAAAGGTACTTGCAAGGCCTGCGTAGTAGGGCCACTCAGGTTTATTTCCTTTTATTAGCAAGCTAATGCAGACTGCTCCCATTTGAGATAATATTTACACCAGTAAGGCACAAAATACTCCTCATGATAGAAAAAGGCTTTCAAAAGGAATATTCTGGTAGCAAGATTTAGAGGTTGAAGGAGATTTTCTACAAGTGATATCTGTGGGGAATCAAAGGGAAAGAATGCTTGAGCCCAGAGCCGCAGCTCAAGGACAGAAGACAGCATGCCATGCCAACCTCAGGTGGCCAGCCTTAGCCAAGAAGGCCATCCTCATTTGTGTGCATCCAGCAGGGTTACAGTCTCTACTCCCACCATCCCACATCCTACCTGCCATGTCCCATAAATTCCTAATGTCCAGCCCTGCCCCACAAGGAATCCCCCAGTATAGATGATGCATGTAGATCATAGAATCTAGAAGATTCCTTGGTTTAAATTATATCTCTCCTGCTTATTACTTTATTACCTTAAACAAATTCCTTTCAATTCTCTGTGCTTCAGTTTCTTCATCTGTAAACTTGGAAGAATAAAAAAAAAAACCTTCTTCATAGATATGCTGCAATGATTATGACTACCTGGAGCATAGTATTACTACACTAATGTTAGATGTCATTATCCTTGCACCATCGGAACTTTATGCTAATTTTTTAGGGTAGGGATGGCACTTTCACTCTATCTCTCCCATTTCCTACCCTATCACCCCCTCCTCCTTCGTTCTTCCCTGCTTCTGTTCAATCCATGACAAACCTGGAGAGGTATGTTCCAGGCCAAATAGACCATGTGTTTGTACTCATCCATCCAGATTTCAGCCACTCGCAAAGCATTACGCTTCAAGGCAAGACTCAGATCCAAGGCATAAGGCTTGTGGTGTCTGTCTAGGTGAGCAATCCGGGAGCAGGGTAAGACCTCAATTCTCCCTCCACACTGCCACACCTGTAAAAGAAGAAAAGAAAGTCACCTGGGCAGGCTAGGCCCATGATGACCAAGAAGCAGCATAGCTTGTAGACTCACAGAGAACACATTTTGGAATCATTTTTAAAGAATGTAAATTCAGTCTTCTCACTCCCATCTCAGTGTGGCCTCTCAACCTACCTACCTAAAACAACCTTCATTAGAAATCTACCAAAATTCTTCTCTCCCATTGTTCAGACAGCTCCAAAAATCCTACATCCTTCAGGAAATCTTCCCGAACAGACCAAAGGAATGGATGCCTTGACTCTATTATCCCCAAGAAAGTGCCAGAGTCCTAAGACGTACCACACTCTGAGCCAATCTCACTGGACTTCACTTCCCAAGACCCACTCTGTCCTGCATGCTAGATATAAAGCAATGTGGTGGACAGACTCTCAGGGGCTCCCATGATCCCTGCCTCCTAGTGTTCATACCCTTCTCTAATCCCTTCCCTTTGAGTGTGGGCTTGTGATCTCCTTCTATCCAATAGAATATGGCAAAGGTGACAGGATGTACATGATTGCATGTGTGTGATTACACTATATAAGATTGCAGTGTCCATCTGGTTAGAAGACGTGCTGTCATGTTGGCTTTGAAGTAGCAAGCCACCATGTTGTGAGCTACCATGATAAAGAGGCCAAAGGGCAAGAAACTAAGGGTGGCTTCCAACTGATAGCCAGCAAAAAACTGAATGCTTTCTCGGTCTAGAGGGCTTCAAGGAATTGAGTGCTGCCAAAAATCCCATGAGCTTGGAAGTAGATCTTTCCCTAGTCAATCCTCAATGGCCAACACTTTGACTTCCTTGGCCAACATCTTGACTGCAGCTTTGCAGATAACCCTGCTAAGCCATGCATGGACTCTTAATCCACAGAAACTGTGAGATGGTAAATGCACCTTGCTTTGAATCACCAACTTTGTGATAATCCTGCTACACAGCAATAGATAACTAATACAAGTAATTCTTGACTAAGAGATATCATGACTTATGATATAATGATATAATTATAAATACTCTTCTTTGCCATCCTGATGGGTACAAACTTACTTTTCAGGCCATATATTCTAATATTTGGCTTAAAAATATGATCTTCATCCAGATAGATGATAGAATTATCTAATGATATTGGATTGATATAATGGCTCCAGTGTCTTCTCCTCATGGTTTCCCAAGAAAGGTGCAATTTCTGGGAGTTAATTGGCCTATCTAGCAGTGGTTAGAAACCTACTACATTCATGCCCAAGGGAGCCTCTGAGATAAGAGTGAGGAACTTAGGTCCTGCTGGTTCAGTTAACCACCTGAAGGGTCAGTCCCCTTATCTGACTTTCAAAATTTTTTCATCCCTTCTTCTACTTCTGAATCCACAGATTCTTCTCCCCTCATCCCCCAAAACCCAGAATAGCACAATGACAAAAAGTCATGCTTTGAAGTCAGACTGACCTGTGTTCAAATCCTGATTCTATCACTGCATACCTGGCAACTAGAGGCAAAACACTCCCCCTTCTGAGTCTCAGGTGGCTCATCCACAAAGGGCATAAAGCTGTCAGGAGGAATAAATGGCATAACAAGTATCCATAAATGTCTATGATTTTTAACTTGAAACAGATCTTTTCTTCCATCATCTTCCTGAATTTCTCTTCATTAGTTTCCAGAATTATGTGGAGGTTACAACTGATGTACTTTCAGATTTTAGTTTCTGAAGCCAAACATCTAAAATTTCAAATACAAATTTATTACAATTTTTTTAGTTGCTGGTCGTTTCCAATCCACAGGAATTCAGAGGAGAAAAAAATTGGGGCACAAAAAAACTTTAAATTCAAGTGAAAAGATAAAAGTCATGATTGCCATTTATGAAGTAATGTTAACTATTATCCTTGACCAACAGTTTTCAAATTTTACTCTTTCAATTTATTCCCACTTGCCAAACATTCCTCCATTCTCATTCTGTGTGTGTGTGTGTGTGTGTGTGTGTATGTAACACACAGAGAGAGATGTAAAGCTTCTGCTTATAATAACAATGACTTGCTCTGTGGCAAATGTTACCCTAATGTTTTTCATGAATTTAATCCTTACCATGTAGGTATTATTATTATCCTCATTTAAGTAAGTTGCCCACATTTACCAGCAGGTAAATGACTGAACTGGATTCTGAACCCAGGCAGTGAGCCTGTTAAGCTCTGATAAGGGGTCAGGAATACACAAAGTGACTGATAAATGCTGGTTTTCCTTTCTTGAGCATCAACCCCAACAGTCCATCTCCATTTATACACTTCCATGTGCACTATCACTGCTATGCCTCTAGATGTCAGAACAAAACATTCCACACAGTTCTAATGTTCCCCATGATCTGTCACTGGAGAAAGACAGATCTTACCAAGTGCTGGAAGGTTTTAAAAGGCAAATAGTCACACACACACACTAAGGAAACTAGATATGGGTAGAACTGTTTTATCCAAGAAAAAGAAAAGAATGGCCTTTCCCTGACACTCCCTACATTTCCAGCAAAATCTAACAAAAAAGCATAAAATATTAAAAGAAAGAGGATTTCTTGTGGAAACTAAAATATCAGAATTCAATATGGGATGGTGAGGGGAATGGAAACAGACAAGAAGCAGAAAAAGAAGAAAGCAGAGAAAAGCATGGGGAAATTAGAAATGGTAACAAGGGCTTGGGGTCCTAAGTTGGAGAACTGGAGTTCCAAATTCATGGAAGCTATGGTAGATAGGAAAACCTCAGCCATAATGTAACTAAGGTCATCTTCGGACTTTGCTAAGTACCATGCATAAAATAATTATTTCTACATTTCTATTTTGTGCTAGAAACTAATTGTACACTCAATACCTATTTCCCTCTACATCTATAGTTGTAGAAGGAATGACTGCACACATAGCAACTAGCTGAAATCTACATTTCCCAGAACTTTTTTGCTCACCAGTGGCCATATGACCAGCAGCAGCCAATGGGATTTGAGGGAAATAACATACACAACTTTCAGATAGTGCCCTTAAAAAGAAAGCATGCTCTGTCTTTCTGCCCTTTTCTCTTCCTACTGAGTAGAATACAGGTGTGGTGTTAAGTGTAGCAGAACCACAAGATGGATCTTGGTTCCCATCACCCTGAAGCTGCCATCTTAATCCTGAACTGCTTATGTTCAAACTATTCTGGGAAAAAGAAATCAATTGCTATCTTGTTTAAAACTGTTATTTTAGCCTCTCTCACAGTAGTCAAACAAGGATTCAATTAATATCTTTATAAATCATTTAAAAATATTTATCATGCCGCCCGGGAGCAAGATGGCAGAGGAGTAGGAGACCTGGATTTCGTCTGGTCTCAGGAATTCAGCTGAATAGGGATCAAACCATTCCGAACACCTACAAACTCAACAGGAGATCGAAGAGAGTAGCAACAACTCTCTGAACAGAGAAGCGACCACTTACTGGAAGGTAGGATGTGCGGAGAAGTGAATCCGAGGCGATACTCGGGAGGATAGACGGCGGGGGAGGGGGCCTCCGTCGGCCGCTTCTGGCAAGCGATAGAGCCGCGGAGCACAAAATCGGAACTTTTAGAAGTCGGCTCCGCTGAGGGACGTCGCTCCAGTGGCTAAGAGGGGGGTGGAACCCTCGCGGGACAGTGTGGTCTCAGGACCCTCGGGGTCACAGAAAAACCAGGGGTGCCTGAGTGCAGCAGAGCTCCCAGGAATCAGAGCAGGGAAGCCGGCTGCAGAGACGGAGCCGAGGCGCAGGCTCTCAGCTCCGGGTTGCCATAAACGGTGATAGGTGACAGTCGGGCCACTTCTCCTCCAGCAGGGACCCAACAAGCGGCAGATCCGGGGAGACTCCTCTTCTTGCCCCGGGAGGAGCGGCGCAGGAGCACACCGCAGGGATCTGCTGGGTTTGGAGACTCCACACGGGGTCGGGTGCCAGAGATAGAAACACTCGGGTCACAGGCCGGGTGAGCACAGAATGCGGCCGGAGAAAAGGGAGACGGGAGTGACTGCTTTTGTCTGGGGGCGCACTGAGGAGGGGGCCCCGAGTTCTCAGCTCCTCCGGGCGGAGATTGGGAGGCCACCATTTTCACCCTGGTCCTCCAAAGCTGTA